TCCTGATCAGGACACTTTTCTCATTTAAAATTTTTTGAGTTTTCTTTCAACAATGCACTTTTATTTTAGCTTACATCTCATTTAGAAATAAAGAGCATGCATTTCCACATAAGTCAATGATCATACTGAAGAGAATAAAAAACCGTTTTCAATCTTAAAGACTATTTCTACAGCTTCAAGTTTTCTAATCTCTCATCATACTCTTGCACCTTAATGCATATCTTCTTCCAACATCTGTATGATTTTTCTCCTCCTCCACTGCAATTCAATACAGATAGTTGAGTAGCTAACAATATAATTCCACATGATATTGCATCTGTGTTTACATCTGGCTCTAACCACATGCTTAAAAGTGACTTATACAAGTAAATCCAAAAAGGGAAAAAGCAAAATAAAAACAAAACTATGAGAAATTATTATGCTGTTATTTAAAAAATATTCTCAAGTTTCTTAGCACGTTTCCACAGCTACTACATAGAAGAGTATGTATGCCATTTTAAAAATACAAGAGACTAGAGGAAGGAAGAAAACAGTGCTAAACAAATATTTCACATGCTTTTTAATATTAGGGTCATCTTAATAAATGATTAATACTTTCAATTTATAAGATACTTTAAGTTTTCCCCCATGCTACAATGTATCTCATGACTTTGTGGGACAGTTTCTCAGTTCATAAACATGTAAGTGAAACACACCTATTCACTACTGAGCCCTGAGGATTTAGAATACTAAATTAAAGAAATACCTGTCAGAAAATGAAAAACTATTTACACACACACACAAACACACACACATACACACATGTGAAGAACCAAGACATCGTAAAATAAGAAATTAACACAGGGTTTCCTGGTAATTCAATACCTACTTAATTCAAGATAAGGAGTCTGGCTATCCTATTATGGTACTGATATTGACGCATTTACAGAAACACCACTAAAAATAATTAAGGAAATAAATACTTCTAACGTTATACCTAATGAAAGGCTTAAAATGTACAGATACATTAATATAACTATATGGACACAAAATGAAAAGACATAACTAAATACACCGTCTCATAAAATTATTTATATGCAAAGGTATTTTTATTTATATAGTTTGTTGAAATAAATTATTTTAATACGAGCATACAGCAATGAACAAAGATGTTTTTACCACATTTAAGATCTCAAAGCAAAGTCATATTCCTTAATTTACAATTGGCAAATTGAATATATGCACTAATGTATGCACTAACTGATTCTTAACTAAAGAGGTGGGGGAAGGCCACCAGTAGGAAAAGACTTGAAGGGGAAAGAAAAGATAAAATCTAAAAATCGCTGACATCTGAGTGACTGCTAGTTACCACCTCCTTTAGCAGCTCTCTGCCAAACCATCCATAGTCTAGGTCTACATAAGACATATTAAAAATAATTATACAGTATTATCAATCAATTAATTGTAATTTTCCTTACTACTCTTAACCTTTTACCATTTTAGATGTATTTAACATTTAAAATACATATTTTAAGGGATCTTACTATGAATTTTTTAAAGAAAATTAAAAAGTATTCCAAATATGCAAAATAAATACGGGTCAATTATTACACATTCTTCTTCAAACTTAAGAACATAAACCTTTTTAATAAGGAGTATAAGGAGTATACAATTGCTCTAAAACAAGAATAGCAATCTCAATTAGAGATTTAAATAACTTAAATTTATAAAATTATTTAAGTTAAAACATTCCTGCTTCTTTCTAGTTTGAACAAACTAGAAAATGCTTATGCCTAATTTAACCAAGGCTAGTTTTAAGTAACAGTAAGACTTAGAATTATACTTAAAGTCCCAATCAGCACAGTAGAAACTTATGATACTACTACACCAATAATCATTTTTGTTAGCATCCTCTACTGGTGGTTTCCAATGACAGCAAGGGGAAATGGTGCTGATGACAGAAGGATATGGACCTGCTATTCCATCTAAAGAGAATTAATCAGCGTGTGGTCATCAGTAGCTAGAGTACATCTCTAAAAAGAAAAGAAAGAACAAAAAGAAAACCACACAGAAGAAGCAGAAAAAGAGAAAAGACAGATTTTTAGAAATATAACAAAGCATTACATTATAGATGGTAAAAACTAATTCATGAAATTGTCACTCCTTTATAGATGACTAACATCATTATCACAAAGTTATCACACAAGGTTTGTTGCTTTGGCCAAACCTTACTCAATTGGTTTACCCCTGTCAGTTGCACGACCTGATACTCCCTTTGATATCCTACCTTCAGACATATTCCAGAAAGGAAATTAAAAGGTTTTAAAGCAGCAAAATCCACATATCTTATTTCAAAATGAATATATACATATATATAACAACATAAACTATCTCTATGACAATCTTCCACTGTATACATCATTCCTTCATTAAAAAGATTTAAGAGTTAACATTTTGCCAGGTAATTCTTTCCAATAAACATCTGCAACTTAAATATGACTGCATTGCTAAGAAATATTAACCAGCAGATATACCGAGGCTTCACAACACAATGGAATATAACTTCATTTTTAATTTACAAATATAAGGCTAAATCAAATAGCATGGCTATAATCACCAGCAATGGATGAAATACATTTGAGAACAAAAAGAAATACAAGGACAGAGCCAAAAGTGATGAAAATGGAAGATACCTGTAGTAGTACAGTGCTATCTTAAACACCTTTTGTTTTCTGAGAGTAATGCATACTGCAGACAAGACGTTTTGTGCTAAACAGCCGAAAATCTGTTTTTGTAATATTAAACACAAAGGAAAAACACTGACAGCAAGCGTGGTAAATAAATCCCTCCCTTGAGAACGAAAGCAGCAGACAGGAGGGGGCTGACATACATGCAGGAGAAAACTAAACACCATCTTTTTTCTACCTGCACAAGTTGCCATTTGCTGCAGCGATCAAGAACCTCTCTTTCCTGTTGATTTCAAGTACCTTTCAGGATCGCTTTTCCCCCCTTAAGTCATCTGTTGATATGCCTTACGAGCGTAATATTCATACCACAGGATCTTAAGGAGAAAAATCCATTCTTTCCTGTTCAGGTAAACATGTTTACAGCAGCTGCACAGACACTGGGTGGTTCAGACTCACATGTCACACACATGTCGTCAGCAACAAGAAAAGCCCCTTTCTCTGGCGATCAACATTTTAAATAAGGTAAAAAGCGAACGGCCCTTTCCGAACCAACTTACCTTTCATAAAGCCACATCAGCAACAGCGGCAACAGCTCAATATAGAACACACACTATTTGACGCTAAAACAGGAAATTAAAATTGCAATAGCCTATGCTCCACTCGTTATAATAACTCATCTCTCCACAATGAGGATACCAAAATACCTTTCGATCACAATCAATAGACGTCTTTAAAATGCAAGTGTTTATATGAATAATTAAAATCACTCATAAAAGCAGTGATTTTAATGTCGGCACGAATATATTAAAAATATGTTTACGGATTGGAAGGAAACATCTTGAAACAGCTTAAAAATCTTCGTATCTGCTTCTAGACAGGAAATCCCACACAAAATCTAAAATTGCCAGGAAAGGTTACAAAACCTCGCGTTTCGCATCCCAGAGGGGAGGGAGAAAGGGAGCCCAGTCGTGGGGGGGGGGATAGGGGGACGGGAGGGGGGAGCACGAGAGAGTTTTCTCCTAAACATGTTATTTCCTCGTTTTCTCAACGCTGCAGCGGTCCCATTATAGACGCATTTATTCCCCCTCTCTTAAAAGTCGTTTTAAAAAGAACGCAGGAACCAAAGCAATCCCCTCGGTCCGAAATGTACGTGTAATTCCTTATATAGCCTGGGCTGCGGCCGGCTGCAGGGCCGTTTGCCGCCCATTATTATACAAACAGGTACCGGGGCGGCGCGGGCGGGGGCTGCTCTCCCGGAGCTCCCGCCGCCCCCGGGCGGACAAGTCTCGCCCCTCTCGCCACAGGAACTGTCCAGACAATAACAATCAGCAGACATTTCGCTGCTGCACGAGAGGGAGAGAAAGCACAGCATCGCCCCCAGATAAACAGGAATACAATCAACTTACAGCGTCTCTCCAAACTGGAAAAGGCGACTGTGCAACCACCACCACATGTTCGGGTCTCGATCCCTCGGGCTGTCTCTCGCTCCCTCGCTTTTTTTTTTTTTTTTTTTTTTTTAACTCTCACGCCAGGCAGAGGGGTGTGTTTCCCCTGGCACAGCAGCACAAATCAATAAACACCGCAGCTGCGGCGCCAGCAGCAGCCCCGCGCGTCCGTCGGTCCGTCCGCCCCCTCCCCCACCCTCCTTCCACCCGAGACCCAGAGCGCCATCCAAGCCCCATTATCCGGCTTCAGCGCTCCGTGCGTCCGGCCCAGGTAACAACTTCCCCAAAAACCGAAAGAGAAAAGCGCGAGGCGCACGCACACCGGCCCATCCCGGCGCGGAGACCGCGTCTGCCCGGGGAGGGGATCCGTCTGTGGTGCTTCCCCGTCCCTAAGCCCAGGTAACAACTCCGCAAACACACCCGCCGCCCAGCTCGCCGCCATCCGCGCAGCTCCTGTCGGCGTTAACTGGCTGCACTGCCTGCCCTGTCCCCGCGCCGCCCCGCCAAACGTGTACCCCACTCGCGGGGGTCGCCGCGGAGCCCCCAAGCTGGGGCTCTGGGCCGGGCTGCGGGAGGCTCCGTGGAGGAGGGGCGCTTAGGGACCCGCGCCCCCGCGCCCCTAATCCCCGTTCCGCGAGCGCGCCCGGCCCGCCGGTCCCAACTTTACCGCCGCCGGCCGAGCCCCGTCAGCCCGCGGCGCGCACCGCCGGCGCCCGCGCACACGCGCGCACAGACCCCACGCAGCCCGTGGCCGCCCCGTCCCGCTGCCGCCGCCGCCGCCCGCCCGCCGCGCTCACAGCCCGGCCCGAGTGGCGGGGCCCGAGCGACGGCGCCGGCCGGGGCCGCGGCGCGCGGAAGCCACTTTGCACGGTCAGCGCCGGGCACAAGTTTGTTCCGCGGCTCCAGGGGGCCTGGGCGCTGAGGGAGAATCCCGCTGAGGGGGCCGGGAGGAGGAGGAGAGGGAGGCGCCGAAGGGCACAAGAGTGGGGAAAAGTGAGGAAAGAAGCAACAGCCGCTCCACCCGGGACCAGAAAAGTGGCCGGCGCGTCCCGGCCGCCCGCCCTGCGCCGGGGATGCGGCGGCGGCGGCGGCGGCTAACGGTCCAGGGAGGCGGCAGGGGCGGCGGGAGCCGCTAGGCGGAGAGAGACCAGGTAAGAGACATAACGGTTCAGGGAGAGCGAGCGGCCGCGGCGCGGCTCCGGCAGCGGCGGCAGCGGAGGGGGGCAGAGAGCACTACTTTCTACTTTCCCACTCCACTTTGCCGTCCCTGCCCCGGCCGCCCCCAGCCCGGCTCGCCCCCCTCACCCCCGGGGGCGCCCCGGCTACCCGGCTCCCCCTGACTCCGCCGCTCCCCGGTCCCCTCCGCCACTTACCGTTATTGCGCCGCGGGTTCGCCTGCTTTCTGCGCTTACACCTGGGGCCATCCGCCATGATCCTCTCGCTTGTGTCTAAATGCTCGAGTCACCTCCTCCCCCTCCCTCCCCCTTCCCCCCCACCCCTCCGCCTCCACCCCTCCCCCCTCCCCACCGCACCTGGTTTACGACACTCGCGGCTTTACGACATCACCTTCCTTACACCTAGAGGCGCTCGCTCTACGGCCGGAACCTTGTTGCTAAGGACCGGGCGGTTTGCGGCAACCGTGGGCACTGCTGAGTTTGAATTGCGGGGCGAGGGAAAAGTTTTCCTCAGGTGTGGTGGGGCGAGGGAGAGGCGGGTGTTGGGAAACCGTGGGGACGTGGTCTGAACGGCCACGAGCTGTCGCAGTTGGAAAGGTAAAGTTGGAGGCTCGGCAGCGTCCTGCCTCCACGCTGACCACACCCGCTGCCCGGGGCAGGGAGGGATCTGGCTGCTTTTCCCGTGGACCCTGTGCCCTTGGAGCTGCCCCTTTGAGCGCCCCGAGGTCCCCGCCTGCCTGCTTCCTGGAGGCAGGGCTGCCATCAGTCCCACGCCTCGCGTGTCTGCTCCGCTCACCCCGGGGCCAGGGAAAGGGAACATGGTCTGGACTCCCCGGGGACTTCCCTTGATGAGGGGAAGGGCAGGTTTGGGGACGGCGAAGACCCGCGCGGCGCCCGGAGACAGGCTACCTGACCCACGGCAGCCTGGACTCCCTTCCCTTAGGGACGCACGGTTTCCCTGCGAGCGAACGGGGATGGGAATTGACTTCAATGAGATTGAAGTTCAGCTGGACTGAAAGAGAGGCGAGAAGTTCCGCTTGCCAGCAGCCTGGTTAGCAGAGCGGAATGAGTAATACCCACACGGTGCCTGTCTCACTTCCCCATCCGCACCCGGCTCTCACCTGCTGTCAGCTCGGCCTCCCCCACCCGGCCCTCGCTCCCCTCCCTCCCCTCCCGCCTCCTCGTGTATACCCCTGGGTTACTGGGTGGCAGGACTCAGAGCCAAGGTATTCACGGGCCATGATTTGCTTCCTAAATGAGGGGCCGTCGCCCTTCAGGATGATGTTTCAGGCAAGAAACAACAGCTGACAGATGTGGTCTCTGAGCCTGATAGATTGCTGATTTTATCTTAAGTCCTTGGTGTAAGTTTGGGGATTTCTGAAAGACCATACAGATAATACCACAAATATCAAGAAAGTCGTCTTCAGTATTCAGTAGAATGTAGATTTATGTTTCTCTTCCTGCTTCCCACCTCCTTCGAACAAGGAAACGCCTTTGGGACCACCTTTATGGGATAAATGAGCTGATTTGTATTTCAAGTAATATAGTTATAAATTAACAATGTAGGAGTTTATTAATAGAGAAATTGAGAAAACGGAAAAGTGACCAGAGTATTGGAAATAACTGGTAAATCACCTAGCTCACTGTCTGACACATAGTAGGCGCTCAATAAATTTATGCTTATAATTTTTGCTACCTATGTGGCAGGATTTTTTTATTAGGTTAAAATTATCTTTTAACCACCTTCCGGAATTTTAGGATATTCATTAATAATGTCTTCAAACCTTTCAACTGAAATAAATTTACAGCTGAAGTCTGGTGATTTAAAGTTAGAAAGTTTAATCTTGAATATAGATGAACATTTTCTCTCCCACATTTTCTTGGACATTTTGAGAAGTAAATGCATTATTTATTGGTCCATGAAATGTAACTGTAAATATTCTTTGCTATACATTATGTCTATATATCTGCACTTATCCTCAGTGCCAAAACTAGAATCATTATTCTTAATGGCAATTTCAAGTACAGGCGGTATTTGCTTTCCTCAATAACCATGTTAACTGAAATTTGTGCGTGTCAACACAGTGTCCTTGCTTTGCTTGGTTACGTGTGAATTCTTCCTCCCCTTTTAAGAGTTGTACGGTCTTCTTCCATCACCTACCGAATCAGGTGATAGACTATGGAATTGCCCCCACCCCACCAACGTTTTTTCAGCTACCCTAACTTCTGACCAGAAAGGAAAAAAAAAATACTTTCCAACTCCAGCACACATATGCCTACTCTTAAACTTAGGAAGTACTGCGAATAGCATTTTATTGTGTTCTCTTTCTGGCCTATACCTCCTTCCCAAGCTTCATTCAGTGTTCATCCTTACCTCATAATCATAAAGAGGGGAAGCAAAGAGACAAATTGAGAAGTCATTTTCTTTCTTCCTTTAATGGTTTCTGGTTTTTTAGTTAGGGCCAGACTGTGGACAAGTACCTTTTCAGGCAAATTTTTCCATGTTTCTATGTCCTCAACACCTAGTGGAGTACATGGCCAATAGTAGATGCTTAATAAACATTCCCTAAATAAATTAATGTTGTTGCCCTTTTCTGAATCTGTTCTTGGCAGTAAAATCCATAATCTGCCTTCATCCCTCCCGTTAATCCTTAGGAACAGCTAAAGTCATGGATGTGAAAGTGATTACTGTCATTTATATCCAGACTAAAATTCCTCTTGATTTTAGTTTCTCCATAATCATTTTCCCTGAACAATTAACTCTGTTCACCTGATTTTTTAAAATGTGCACAGTGAATATTATTGGTAGCCCAAATCTTCTAACATAAAATTTCCATTTTGTAAAAGCTTCTGATAAGTATGTTATGAATTAAATGTTTAATTATCATACTTTATTTACTGTAATTTTCTTGAAAATATTGATATCTAGACTGGAAAGAAAACAGACAATAGTAAATCTCAGAATACATTTCTGCTTTGAACATAATGCATGTGTGACGGTTGCTTATCTCTTAAATATAACTAAAGAATGGGGGAAAATCTTTAGAATCAGTTTATAAAAGAAGTTTATTAAAGTTTGGGTTTATTCAACTCAAACAGGGTAGGGGATACTAATATATGAGTTTAACATGTATCCCACATTCTTGGTTTTAGTAATTGTAGTGCTGTCATACACCATACATTCAATATATATGTTTATTTTTAATATGTCAATGAAATGTTAACACTGTGCTTCTACTGAGCACTGGGATTATATATGCTGAAGGGAAGAGATTCTAAAAATGAATTGCTGTACTAACTTTTCCAAAATTGGGGAAAAATGTAAATGGGTAGAATATTTTCAATACTCAGTTTTTTCTATAAATTTTTCATAAACCCTTTGCACCTGCTATTTGATTTTCACATATGATTCATGTATAAATTAGGATAAAATTTGACATAAAATTATCTTAAGTTTAAAATGTAGAGATTTCATGGTGTTCCACATGAAGCATATCATTCCCACATAGGTCTCTTCCAAAACACATTGAGAAGTGCAATGTATGATTCTCTAGTCTTCATCAAAATCTAAAGTTGGTTAATCATGGAGGGATAGCGTGTAAATATCACTCTTGAATTCAATATCTAATTTTAACCTTAGAGTTTTGAAGTAAAAAGAAATGTGATACATGTTATCCCTCAAAGTACAGAATCTAGAGGTCTCATAAAGCTGCTACTCGGTCCTTGGCTCTGACCGTGGCTCATGACCTGCAGTAATTCTGGATTTGTGGTTCACTGTGGGACAAAGGAGGGCAATGGTTATTTCACGGTTGCAGTCTCACCAAATTCTGCAATCACTGAGTCAGGAAGGAAACATGACTGCAGGGTGATGCAGAACCAACAGTTGGCCACAGGACCCATGCCAGCCCTTTGAATATAGCCTCCCGAGAAGTATCACAGGGACAAATGTTTTCTCCATACTTCCATGTGGTTTTGTCACATAGTTTACCACAAAATGGCTCCTCCTCTGGGGAATGAGGCTCCTATTTTTAATATAAGTAAATGAAGTGTTAACACATGAAGTTTCTTATTTAGGGGGCAATTTTTCAGGAACATGTATAATACAGAGATAGATAGAAATATATGGAGAAAGCTATTTGCAGGATGTCAGTGAACATCCGAAAAGTAAAACTAGTATTTTCCATGGAGTCACAATGATTAAAAAGGATTTCTTTCAAAGGCTGCCTCCATAGAAGTTACATTGTAGTTTCTATTACTAATATTCCTTATGAATATGAATAACATTTTATTTTTTTCTACACTTAGAACTATATGTGGGTAACTTGAGAAAAAGCAACACACATATTTTTGATTTAAGTGAATTTTAAGTATTTACCGTGATATCAGGGGTCTGATACCTGGTTTCTACCATTGTTTTTTGTCTCCGTGTATTTCTTTTCTCTGTCATCTTTTAGCAGCTGATTGATTCTGTTACAGAGTGTGGCTGTATCTTTGACCTACAGTGCTGGCGTTCTGTAAATTGCAGATCCTCAGTTACAGTTGTCGCCTCTGTTCAGTCCTTGGTGTACATGCCTTTAAAATGTTTGCAGTCAGTAACAGGTTTTAGATGTTCTACCATTGTATTAAACTTACATGAGAAAATTGGTGATAAATACCCTGTGTGGAATTATATCCACAACTTTAAGATCCCTGGTCAGACCCTACTCATTCTCTTCAGACCTTATGCCTCTATTTCTTTGCTTGCTGTCTTTATCCTACTTACATAAATAGATCAGACATTTTGCCCCTCCTCACTGTTTTACTTTGTAATCATTCTCTTCCTCTATCTTTCTTTGCCCCAGCTCTGTTTGGATCATTTCCCTTTCTCTTTTTGTTTAAAATTTTTTGAATCGTTCCCACTCTGTGAAATGCTTTGCTTTTTCATATTATCCCTGTTATACTTTGTCCTTCAAAGTACATCTCTGCCTTTCCATGCT